TATTTATCAAATTTCGAAGATAAGTTCGAAATTTTATACTATAATATGTTTAATTTTAAATTATTTTTTCTTGATATTTTTTGAAAGAGTTTGTACTTCTAGACTATTCATTTATTGAAATAATTAAATAAATTTTATTGGTTCTATGATATATCTGGAGATAATTTAAATTAAAAGAAAAATAAAAGGTTATTATATCTTTAAACTCTTAAAGTTGAATCAAAACAAATTGAGCGGATTAGTATTTGAAGACATGAATACAATATGTTAAAGAAAGAGTTATATTATCTGATAATTATCATAAATAACAAGCGAATTTGGAAGCTTTAATACAATCAAAAGGCAAGCCAAACATATACAATTATGTAATTATGTAACAATAAGGGTATATATAATATGAAATGTCAGCTAATAGAATCTTCTGGTTCTATTTAATCAGTACAAAAATTTCGATATTTCAACAACAAGATTATTTATTTTTAAATTTGACAAAGTATATATAATAATTATCACTTTATCCTCCCTTTCAGTAGGTATAATTATTTACTTTACCTTTTAATATTCAAATTAATTACAATTTTAAGAGTATTGGAAAATAGATATAAATTTGCTCAGTTTACACTTGTAAAATTTAAAACGCTTGATAGAAATAATGAATAATCTCAAATAAGGATATTATATCAAATCATAGAGGAAAATGCTCAAGATTTTATTTTAGAAACAGTATCTATCCATATTGTACCATTTTATAATTTATATAAAGAGAACCACTACATAGGGATTTTAAGAGTTCCCATTATTTAGTGGTTTGTTTTTGAAGTCATTTTCATAAAGAATTGGAATAGAAACTTAAATAAATGAGTTTATATAATTATTTTGCTTTCAAATCAGCAAATACCTATGATGCTGTTGAATTATTTTGATCAAAATAATTAAAAATCTTAAAAAATAATTTTAGTTGGATGATTAGTCAAATTGAAAGAGTTGAAAGCAAATTTAAATTAAATTTTATAAATATATCAGATCCTATGGAATCTTTAATTTAAACTTATTAATTTTACATCGTATAGGCAGGCAAAATCTACAGAAAATGGTTTAAGTCATCATCTAATCGGACAGAAGGTTCACTTGTAACGAAACTAATTTACTGTAGTATATAAATAAAGAAATTTAGGAGTATACCTGCTTCATTAATCTTAGTAGATATATCTGGATGAATAAGCGTAAATAAAAATTTTATCTATATTCTAAAATAGAATGTAATTAGTTAGTCGCAAACAATCTAAATGTTTCTTCAAGAAAAAAATCTATATGTGCAAGAGACCTAAAAGACAATTAAAATTGGAAACAATTTTAAAATTTACTGATTACTTACCCAGAAGAACTTTGAAGACCTATTATAAAACACTAAAAAGGGGTGACATTACACCATCAAAGATACACAAAAACTAAAAAATCTTCATCTTTCCAAGAATTTTCAACTTCAACCAACTAAGATGCATCAACAGAAGGATAAGTATTAAATCCAATATGAAGCATTTTCTAAACTAGAGTAAAAATAGGATCTTTAAATTTGGTTTTTAATTCAGTACGTTTAATAAATAAAACTAATACAGAATATTTCCTCATCCTAATAATATCTGATTCAGATAATGTTATTTCAATTTAATTTGAAATATCATCATAGGATTTTAAGTTAAAATATTCCCATAAAGAATCATTTCAGTTTTTATTTATTTATTAATATTGTGATGTACTAATCTCTTACAAACTAAATTATATTAAGTCATTCTATCATCAATTACTCTTTGATAATGGGGATTTCATCATCTATTTCATCCAATATTAAAGTTATGGTCTCTAACCTTTAAGCATAATTGAGGGATCTTCCTATTCTTGACTATAGATTTAAAGGGCTGACTGATTAACAATCTTTCTTTATTTAGCTAATACTTAAAATAGATGTATTTATTTAAAAGAATTAAGATTGCCTAACCTTTTTTTCTAAGTTTGAAAGGTCTACATGATTAACAGCTTAAGATTAGTTTTGAGGATTGATGCTTCTAAAATAATGGATAATATATATTAATTGATAAAAATAAGAAATAGTGATATTTTATATTTCTATTTTAATATTGTTAATTAGATTTTAAATTATTTAGTGAATGGATATAAAATAAAATTCTTAATTAACTTTTTTACTATAGTCTTGAGTAGATATTCTAAAGTATTTACTTGCCATCAAAGTTCAACTTCGTATATTAATTCTTAAAGCTCCATTACAGAATTATTAGCATTATATTATAGTGTCAAGATCAAACTTAATTATTTCTTAACTTAGAAATCCTATATATGATTTGAATTTTTTTTTTCTAATTATAATAAAATCCTAAAAAAATGAAATAATTAGATGCATTCTATCAAGATGATTCAAATTAAATACAGTAAGAAGAGACAATTGGTGTACTTGTATAAGAAAATGATCAATCTTTCAAACCTCATTATGGGAACAACTGCATGTTTAGATTTGATAATGGTCAGCCATAATTTACAATAGGCCCACACTGTAATTCATTTATATATGTAGGGCCTTTGAGTCTTTGCGCAATTATTTCTATAATAGTTGGAACTTATTTTATTAGCTCTATAATTCACATTTAATCTGGTTTATGGTATAGTTTAGGATCCATAATGAATGGCTTAATATTGGAAGTATGCTTTTTAAGAGTTTTTCTCAAAAATCCTGGAGTTAATTTTACATTAAATTCTGTTGCAAGAAATGAGAGTATCAATTTTTAATTAATTTGATATTTTAGAATCCTGCTAACCTTGCAAACTTGTAAAAGAATAGGGCACTTATCATTGCTCTAAATGTGATATTTGTGTTAGAGGTTATGATCATCATTGTCCTTGGGTTGGAAAATGTATAGGAGAAGGCAACATAATCGAATTCTAGATGTTCCTTCTTTCATTTTTATTTTTTTTCACTTGCAATTTAATTTTAGTAATGATCTGAAATTAATTATAATTTATTTTAACAATTTTCAATTAGTGTAAAACACCAAAAAATAATTATTACCAAAGAATAATTTGATGAAAATAATAATTTACTTCTAAGTTTGTTTTAGTTCTTGTACATATGGATTTGGAAAAAAACCTACAATTTACTTGATATCATCAAACAGAAATAATATTTTAGATAAGTGAATAACCATCATAAAATAATTTATTTACTCAATAAGTTTTCAATCCGTTAATTAATATGAGCATATTTATTTAGTTCTTAAATCATCGGCTACACAGAATCTTCTAATAACTATCTTGAATTTTTTAAGTTTCTCATTTCTTCCTCTTTCTATCAGCTCCCTATATGATTATCCTTCTTAAATGTTAAAATCTAATCATCAGGAACTAAAAATTAATGTATAACAAATATCTATTGGTATTTTATTCGACAGTAAAATACTAAAATCCAAAGAATACAAGCTGATATTTGTCCATAGTATGATTTTAATTATCATAATAAATAAATTTAAGCAGATTAATTTCTTAACATTAATATTTATTAAATTTCATTTTGATATTTAATAATTTGACTCACTAACATTATAAATAACAAAATTATTTTTCAAATTCAACAAAAAGGATCAGCTTCTTGTCAAATTAAAGTTTATCCAATTGAAATACCTTTATACAAAATATTTTAAGACAATATCACTAATAAATCAATTTATAATAATTTTTAGAAGAGTATTATTGAATAGTAAGAGGTTTAAAGTATAAAGTCAAGCAAATAAATAATCTTGTTAAATCATAGTCAAAAATAATTTATTTTTTCAACATCCACTTTGATTGCATTCATTATTTGTCCTTCTATCTCAAAAGGTTTTAGGTTTTATCGTTGCTTAATAGGTATGAGAATTTTTTAATATAATCGAGAAGGGTTATGCCTTAGATATTTCAATAACATCTCCAAGATTCTTATTAATAAATATTTGGTAAGCTATGTGCTCTATATTCACAAAATTTTGGATCATTAAATTCATACAAACATATAGTAGCATATGTTTTATGGCTAAACTTTTAGATTACAGAAGTGCATGTTGATTTCTGTATTTTATATTTAAGCGAATTAAAATAAATGTTCTTAAGGAATATTTAAGGAACAGCTTATGGCCAGATAGTTTATTGATTAACTGAAATTTAATAGCATTCCATATTTCCTATTTATAATCCTTCTAATCATAAATTGATCATTTAAGCTGTCTAAATTCCATCCTAGTTTTTCTTAGTTGGATCATTAGTTAGCCTATTTTAATAATCTTTAGGATTATTTCTCATTCTATTTTGTTTATTTCTTAAAATTATAGAATATAATGTTAGAATATTGAAAGAGCTGTTTTTTCTATTAAATTTTAGATCCTTAGATATTATCTATTAATAGTTTATGTCGTTTAAAGAACAATTTAATCTCTAAATTGTTGTTGATTTTAGATTTATTGTTCTCTTTCCTAAGTAAATAATTTTTATCAAATGTGATGATAATATTTCCTTCTCTTTCTTTTAATACAAATTAATATTTAAACAATTCCAAATCTTTTATACTCCTTAGTATTTTGCTTCTTGATCTATTAAGATGTGAAAATTACTCAGAATTTTAGTTTATTTGTTAAAGTATCTATAAAGGTTACAAATCGTATCCATTTCTTAAACTGGCCTATAAATTTGTCCTAACAGTTTCTGCTTTAGCTTTCTGATCAGTCAATAAACCGTACCCTCATAAAATGAAAAGATAAATATTCTTATTTTTCAAGTATGATGAAATAAGTTTAATCAAAAAAATAAATCTGGATAACTTAAAATCAGGGTCTAATGATTTTTAGGTTTTAATAACAATACCTATTTTTGTTAATAAATATAATGACCATTTAAATTTATGTAAAGCAAATTTTTTAGATAAAAATAAATATATTATTATTTAACATAAAAATTAATAGAAAATGCATTAATAATTTATGTCTGCAATTGATGCTACTGTGTTTTTTTAACAGACGTAAATCATCTAGTCATATATTTAAGAGTTCTATTTAATCAAGAAGGTGAAAATGAAAAAGCACTTCTTCAAGACTACAACATGGCCATCCAATTAAATCCAAATTATGCTGATTTGTATACAGAGGTAAATCATCTAGTCATATAATTAGGAGTTCTATTTGGTCAAAAAGGAGAAATGAAAAAGCACTCCAAGACTACTAAAAGGCTCTCTTATTAACACCAGATCATCCACTTTATCTTACAAACTTAGAAGTCTCTATTTTAAATAAAAATATTTTGTTTGAGCAAATATTTATTTTACAAAAGCAAAGCAATCATTAAATTCGATTAAACAACAATAGATATCGAAATGAAATTTATCTAATTCAAATCTTGCATATATTAATAAAGAGCTTAATCTACTTAGAGAAATTAAAAATTAGATTTAAACAACAGATATTTAAATTAATTATTATCTAAACAATTATAAAGATAGAAGTCTATTTAATTAGAGGAATAAGCCTATAAACTAGTAAATGAATTGACATTACAAATAAAGCCTTTAGATATTTAATTAAATATAAATCAATAAACAATTTGCTTTTAGATTTTGGAACCATTTGAGCAAAGGTTTAATAATTTTTTAAACCAAATAACTACCCTTGCAATATATGTTAATTCACTTTTAGAATAAGATAATTGTAAGGTTTCTGAATCTTTAAAACAAATAAATAAAAAAGAAAATAAGAATTAATTGATGTATAATTATGCTTTAGCTTGGAGATTGTATAATTATTTATCTGCAATGTAATAAATTTCTACTAATCTATTTTAAATTAATAAAAATGCAATAATCAAAAGCAAATCTGAATAAACTTGAAATGTTTTTCAAAAAAATATATTAAACATAGTGTTTAGATTTTTGGAGGATTACGTATTATTGGAAACGCTTTTAATATGCTCTCAATTTTGAATTTGAATATCATAAAGAGCATAAATTTACTATAAGATTAGGAAAACTAAATAATATTTTAAAATGTAAATCTATAGTTCCAGAAATATTAATAAGCTAATTTCATTAATAAACCAAAATCAAGATTTAGGAAGTTTGTAGATTAATTGTTGCAAGAATTTATTTTGTGGTTTGAGAAGTTATTTAAATTCAATAACACATGAATAGGTGCAACCATAACATAACCATATTTAGACCATACGAGAAATCAATTATTGCTAATGTCTTTTTTTTATATAATCTAACAAATAGCAGTCTTAATTTTTGGAATAATAATGGTAGATTTAAAAAATCATAAACAAAGGTCATAATGAATAATTTTTCCTTCATTATTTTTAAGGTATTCAGCAGATTCTAGTATAAACTTGATAATTTGAAAACGATAGTTTTCATTCCAAATTTTAACTCTGGATATACCAAATTTATTTAGAAGCCAATTCACTCAATAATATTAGAAAATTCAACTTTGATATCATAATTCACTTAATCTTAATTTTCTTTGTAAAATACAACTGTACATTTATCTTTTAGGCACTAATTGTTTCTCTTTAATTTTTTCCTAATTTAGTAATCCATATTATTATTATATTAAACTCTTTGAGCCATTATTTCTTAGGTTTATTATTTTCGGATAGAAAATGAATTATAGTTAATATGTTTAGAATAAATTTCATTTATCCAAATAAACCAAATATCATCCAATCATACATCCACTGTTTTATTTTTATTCCTATTAAGATTGATTTAGACAGTACCAAGATACATTTACTTTTTGATAATATTTACATGATCACATAATTGTAATACAAATTAATCATAGCCTGTCTAAATTCTGAATTTGATAGTGCTTCATAAATTAGGTATTCAAATTTTGAGTATTTTATATATTAAATCTTAAATCTTTCATATCTTAAGCCAATATAATTAATCCTATTTTATTTACTTTTACAGAGAATGATATAATAGAGTAATTGTGTAGGTTTCTGCCATAGATACAAAATCTAACTATGATACAATATAGTAAGTACTGTAATCCAAGCAGACATCTATATTCATTAGAAATAAAGAAAGTTTTAATTAAGCGAGTAAAATAATTCTGAAAAGTCTTTAAAATAATTTAGTCAATTTATCTTAGTCAAATAATTTATTATTATTATTGAACCCTAGTAATCACTAATTGAAAAATATCAATGGTAAAATTCCATTTAAGAACATTTTTTGGATTTGAATAACAATAGGTTGAAAAAGATCAAAATATGAAATTGAATTTACAAAACTAAATGAAATTAAGTGACATCAAGATGGATAGATTTTAAGGACTTATTTTTATTCATCATATTTAATGAATAAGTAATAAATTCTTTCTAAAACCTGAAATCTTGACTATTTTACCATAAATTTATTATCTTGGGTGATTTGTAAATCTTTATTAAAAGTAGACAAGGTGGACAATTTCATTATTAAATTATTTTAGATATTGGTGGAAAGTATAATGAAATATGAAAAATTATAATACTCTAAGTATGAATTGAGCAAAGTTTAAGGTAACACTTAACCAAAAACTTTTGATGGAAAAATAAAGGTTATCAATTGTCATCTGTAGTGAAGCCCAAATCTATGAAGTAAGACGAGATATTGATAAATGTATTTTACTTCCAAAAGTAATCCTTCAAATCAATCCATTTACCATACTTAGATCATTATTCACCATTTTATCCGCCACGTCTAAGAAACTAATAGTACTGTTCAGTAGATAAACTTCAATTTTCTCCTTCTCTAATTACAAATATTCATTAATGATAATCCAATACTTTTTCAGCTGATGAATAAAAAATTGGTAAAAATTGGTATGGAATGCTTTTCATAAGAGGAATGGTCAAAATTAATATAAATAAGAAAATCATTTAAATTCAGTGGTTGTGTGTCATATTCTGATAAAGTATATAGGAAAAAATTAAAAAGAATTAGGAAAAATAAACCTTTGAAATCATGAAATTATTTCAGGAGTTAATTCTTTTGGGAGGAAATTAGAATGACAAATCAGAAGGCAAAGTTGTTCAAGGTTTAATGAATAAAGGATAGAGTTAATTGATGGGTTTTGGAGTTATTGCATATTATTTTTTATATTAGAGAGAATTGAATAACTTACCATGAGGAATAACATAATTGTGTAGAAGTAGGCAAATGGGATATTTATAATTATTATTACTGAGAATAATGAACTGATCTTTTTAACTTAATATTCCTTATAATTTTTGAGATGTTTATATTTTAATTAGACAAATTATCTCAATTTAAATTTATTCCAATTAAAAAAAGTTACAAATCAAATTAAACAATATAATACCAATTTTCTGAATTGATGTTATGCTTTTTTGTGAGACATTTTGTTTCGAGAACAGATTCTAATTATAAATTTCGTATAGAAATTTTAAATATCAAGTTTCCCTGTAAGAATAACGTTTTAAAATTAGTACTTTTTTTTAAATTCAATAAACTAATTTAAATCAAAATTTAAAAATTATTTGAGCATTTAAGAAACTTATGTATTTTTGAAATAATAAATCTCACAAATTTTTTAATAATTCTGTAATTTATTGGTTTCATTTATAAATTCATTGACTAACTAATTAATGATAAGATTATAGAAATATGATCAGATTCTTTCATCAAAAATCTATTAGTCTACATTTAATATTTTACTTTTGATATTATACCATTATTATATTTATCTTCCAGTTTTCTATTGAATAAAATTGAAAAAAGTCAACTTCAACTATCTCAAATACAATCTTAATAACAATTTTTATTTATGATATAGTAATAAATACTAAATTAAAATATCAATTTGTAATTGGACTTACTCATATTTAGTTGAACACTTTAAAATAGGTCCAAAGAAGGTTTGAAAGGACCCATAGCTTACAATTTTATTGATGGTATTTCATATTTGAAATTACAGACAAAATAGATTTAAAGGTCTTTTTAGGCACCATTAGTGATTTGGTTATTTTATTTGTGAGAATCAATAAACGTAGGAAATCCATATATTCACTTTAAATTAAGCAAATTCATATTTTTAAATAGCATTTATATTGGATATTTAAATTACTTGGACTAAATTAGGAATACATATTCACATATTTATATAAGTAAAAAAATTATAGCATGCTTACTGTATAATTTAACCTTTCATTTATTCAGAAATAAAAATAATGAAAAGTAATTATTAA